AGCTGCTGTGCATTTCTCCCAATAAAGAAATCTTTGATGGAACTGTTTAGACTCCAGAGGACTTACTGAACTTTGGGAATGAGTGTGCAGACTCTGACATTGCCCCTGCTTGGACTTAGTTACTCTCAAAGAGATGTCAAGCCCTTGGATCCAAATCAGAAGTAAACACAGGCACAGGTAAATTGCATGTTATGAAGCTGCTGCATCCTGGCTTTTAAATGGCTTGGAAAGAGAACCGTTTCCCACACGGGTGTATCTCCCCTTGGGAATCCCACGTTGGAGAACGCTGGAGGTAAGCCAGCACAGCAGGCCTTCCCCTGGGATGCATAAACAGGCGGCCAGTGATCCAAGGAATGGGCCTGCATATCACCTTGAAGTGGGTCACTTGTGGTATTAGCCCCACCCTGCAGAGAAATTCCATAGGGGTCAATGCCTTCTGCTGCTCTTGCACGCCTCCCCTGATTTCACAACGTTACTGACAGCGCCCTCAAGGACGTTTCTGCAGGGGGAAGGTGGGAGAGGTTCTACTTTCAAGTCTCTTGCTTGTTGCTCTTGTTGGTTATCCATGGCTGGCATCAACTAATGGCAGAGAAGACTGTAGAGACAACATCTCAAGCCCTTTCAGCTCCCACCCGGAGTGGAAAACGGGATATATTTGCTCTTGGGTGTTGTGGTGGTGAAGACACCAGGCTGGAAGCCATGAATTCTAGTCCTCTCTTGGACACCAAGCCAGCTGGGTGTCTTTGGGCCGGTCACTCTCTCTCTCAGCCCTGGGAAGAAGGCGGCAACGGCAAACCAATTCTGAAATCTTGCCAAGAGAACAGCGGGGACATGCCCAGGCAATCGCCAGGAGTCAACACTGACTCAAAGGTACCCCCCTCCAAAAACTGTACCCAACAGCTTGATGCCTCTTTGAGAATAACTAAGTGCATTAAAAAAAAAAAAAATACCAGGCTTTAGCTCATGTGCAACAATGATTTTTGAAAGTTTTTTTTTTAATTGGCCTTTTGTACCAATACATAGGGCAGATCCTAAAAATAAGGTAGGGTTCCCCCCCAAACTCTAATTTCACCTTAAAAAAAATAAAAAATAGCACAACTCTTCCCACTGAGAAATTCAATTCATTCATACGTTCAGAGAGACTCATTTGACCCAATTTGATCCTATCAACCTACCAACTAACCGATAGCGTAAATAGTTTTCGTGTATCAACAACACACAACCAGAAGTGCCAAACCACAGAAAAATTATCCCCCCCTTTTTTTTTTTGCTCACAGCAGCCAGATCTTTAGGAGTTAATTTAAACTGCAAAGTGAAATGCAGCAGCATTTTTAAAAAGAGAATCTTGCCCTTAGCAAGGATAAAGTATATCTCCCTCTATTTTTTAAACTGATATTACTTGCGTTGAAAAAAAGATTTTAAAAAATGAAACTAAGTTTTCCAGATTTCCCCATTCCGACGTGTCTGTACCGCTCACGTGAAACGCTAGCTCCGTTTGCATCTTTCCCCGTTCGGCTCCGCCCGCCCCCTCCTATCGCACCTCTCATTGGCCATCATCATTGCTTATTCCCGCCCCCTCCTTGGACCGCTTTCTACCCCGCCCCCCTCCACGTCATTTACTATACAGCATTCGCGATTCCTATCCTTGGACACCTTGCGATGACTACGTTGCCGAACTGTCCCCGCCCCTTTCGGGGTCAAGCGGCACGCCCTATGGGCTCTTGGCCCCCCCCCCGCCACTGGCTCATAGCCGCACATCTTCGTTTCCCCATTGGCTCCAGCGCGCCTCTCCCTGATTGGCGGGCCGCTCTGCTCCCGGCCCACCAATCGGGTGTCGAGTTACCTCAGGAGCATTTTCCTTCCGGGCGGAGACTGCTGCGACCTGTCAGAGCCGAAGCGGCGATGGCGGGCCGGGGCCGGTGCGGAGCGGCTTGGAGGCCGTGGCTGCAGCTCCTTTTGTTGCTGTCGTGGCGGTGCGGCGCGGCCCAGGCGGCGGCGCACATCAAGAAGGCGGAGGCC